AGTAAGGCTCAAGTGCCTCTTTATCAATACCAAACCTGTAATGTGTTTTATACAGAATAATGAGATACATAGTGAGCAGTATATCTGTGTGTAAGAACAATGCATTTATGATGCAGTTGACCTTCTATTCAAACCACGTAGGCAGCTGACCATGCTAAGAAGTATTTTGTATTCTAGGACGCTTGATATCACAAAGTAGGATGTCAGTTGTGTGTATATGTAATTGAGCAGATGAGTAGGAGAAATGGAGCACACAGCTCACTACTGATATCAATAGCAGCATTTGTGAGTGTTCACATTGGGTTTTATACAGGCCAAGGGTTAATGTGTTGTTTTCCTGTATCCCCCGATACTGTTTTTCACCCTTTCACACTGAGCTGACAGATGCTGGAAATAGCATCAGACTCCATTCTTCACAGCTAGCAGCTGATAACAAACATAATCATCAAGTTATGTTTTTTTTCCCTTTCTCTCACAGAAATTGTCATTTATCTCATCTTCGCAGACAGATTAATTCTTTTCACAATGAAATGAATCTGCAAGTCAATAAGGACAGCAGACTGATTGTATTTGAGAACAGAGACTCCACATAAATATTGAAATCTCAGTGGGAGCCAATTTGGGGTCACTGCACTGACTTCAAAAAAGGCTCACATATTGTAAAAGTTTGTCTCACTTACATACAGAGGTTGTACGCCATTCAGAACGTAATTCACCTTTGGCTAAGCCCCGTCCCCCTTAGTTACTGTTGCTACATCCGTCAAACTTCATCTGCGCTCTGCATGGCTTATGCTGTAACAGCTCTTTCTGCTGAAATGTTATCAAACTTTTATAAAGCAGTAAATAAAGTGTCCGATAGAAGTAGGCTGCAATATGCGTTCGAATATTCGAGACATACAGGTGAAACGCAAAAAACAACAAGGCATCCAAATAGAGGCAAAAGCATAACTTTACCGGTCACAGTCAAAAAATGAACCACCGGATTTCCTACTAATCGAGACGGAGGCTGGGACTAACAAATCAGGGAGCAACACTGTTTAAGCAAAGCTGGGTAGGTCTCTATTCACTTCTATAATCGTTATTACAAAGCAAACGGACTACACGGTGTACTGTATAACGTTGTATTTATTAGCAGCATGTGCTAGCGTATCAACAACTGGTATGAGAACCGAAATCATAACCTAAAACATTATAAAACGGTCTAACTAGTATAACACGACACTTGTCACTGTCAGGATTTTACTTCGGTTTTGGGAAGGGAAAAAACGGACACCCCCATCCAACCTCTCTGGGAAACACGTATCTGTGTTGCAAATGTCCGAGGCACAACGTTTAACCATAAAACTTCGACGGTAATAGCCTGCCGAGACCAAAAATATGAGACGCCTGTGTTGAAAGTCAATGGAGCGCTGTGAAAAAGTGTCGGACCTCTGTGGGAGCTCATTCTTGGCTGGGCTGTGATTGGTCAATCTACATTCTAGGGCGTGGCTTAGCCAAAGGTGAATTGACAATGTCTTTAAATTACAAATGCAGATAGGCCTTATGGCATGATAGAGCAATTTTCATAGATTGATTGATTAGATTAAATTAAATTATAATTCACACTCATTAATTGGAAGGGAATTTCTGAATTTTGCACATCTCCGTCACATGCACATATAAACAGAACTTGCCTGCAGAAAGTGGAGTGATCGTTCCTTCATTTTGTGATCCAGAGGAACCAATGCCTTCTCATATCCTCCTCCACCTCTTCCTACTCCTCCTCCACCTCCACCACCACGGGAAGATGGATAGACCTCCCTAGCCTGACTGACCGTCATGGCTGACCACGTGCTCCTCTTCAAAGAGTGTCCGCTGTCCCCTGCCATGGCTATGTTGGTGCAAGCCATGCACTCTCCTGGAGGTGGACCCTTAGATTTCCTCAAGGTAAGCTCCTGGATGGCAGCATCCAGGGTCTCATGTCCAGTTGGATACCCCCGACCGCCCCTGCCAGCACCCACCAGAAAGCTGCTGTCGCTGTCCAGGTTGTCATCGGAGCTCCACCAGCCAGCTGTTTTGCTGCGGTGGCGGGAGCTGCGAGAATCGTGGCGGGAGTCTCCGCTCTTGCTTCGTTCTCGGCTCTTGTTGCGACGGGCAGAGCGAGACTGGTGTGTTCCCGAATAATGATGTCCACCGCTTTCCTCTCCACCGCTGCGGTGCCCCCTTTCCCTTTCCCGATACTCTCCCCCACGGGTGCCGTTAAACTCTCGTTTAGATGGTGTCTCTAGAGAATGAGACTTGGCGAAGAGACGCTGAACCGAGTTCACCAGATGCCGTATGCGACTCGGGCTCTCGCTGCGTTGCTCCCCGCTGGCTGCGCGTTGGTACTGCAGGGTGTGGAAGCCGTCGGGGTGGAAGGGCGACTGCTTCTCGAACTGATCCAGAAGGTTGGGCGGGATACGGTGCATCTTATGCCCGTGGCCATGCACTCCCGAGGATAAACACTCTTCACACGTGGAGTCGTAGGGCTGCGGCTGACTGGGGTGTGAGCGAGGGAAGGTGCCTCCGCCGGATGGTACCATGGCCAGGGTTTCAGGGGGCCCACCAGGCGGGTAGTAGGGGTGGTCATTGTGCCCCTGGTAGTGGTCGGGGTGGTGCATGTAGTCCCGCGCAGTGTCACCATCCTCAGGCATGCAGTAGCAAGGCCCAGAGGAGTGTTGAGACAGACTGCGACTCACCTGGTAGCCCTTCATGGACGGGGCATGGTGGGCCGCCCGGGCCGAGAGGGGGCGCTGTGGGCGCGACAGGGCTGCGCCGGAGTCAACTATAGAGAGAGACAGACATAAAAGGAAATTTTTTGATGTGACAAATGAACACTTTTGCATGTAGTACATTAAATATCAGCATTTAATGTGGTGACCAACATGTCTGTGGACTTTTTAGAAGATTTCAAAGAAAGTGGAGAAACAAAAGGCATTATCTTATTACTTATAGGCTATATTTGTATTACAATAACATGAACTTGTTTGACTATATTTTTGTGCTCTTTTTAAAAGAGTTATAGATAGTCATGTTCCTGAAAAAGCCCTTGTCCCCTTCATATGGTACAGCACTGTAATGTCATTTATAATTATTCATTTATTTGCTTTTCAAGTTCAGCATTAGCAATACGACACAATATATAGAATGATGTAACAATATATAAAATATTAAACAATATAATCTAAACTAATATAAATAAATGAAACTACATTTATATTGACACCATCCAAAAAAAATTAAAATAAATAAAATCTTTTGAAAAGTTTACTGGTGCTCCAACCATTTCTTCAATTGAGATATAAAATAAAGCATTTTTACGCACTTTATTAGGAGACAACTGATCTAAATTACAAAATTCAAGGTTGAAAAATAAAACACTTTTGAGAACAACCCACCAAGAAATGGTTAATGTTGTCAGATTATATCATTTTCCTTTTCAGGGATGTGCTGTTTTGTATTTCAATAACTACAACCAGGCAGCTGACAATGCACAACAAGCACACTCTGATACTTCTGGTGTAGCAGCGCTGTCATTGACCCTGAACACATATGAGTGAGGGTAGGCAAATACTGTGCAAAACTGACTCTTATTTTCATTTGTTCCCTCTAGGTTATTAGCTGGATTGAGTCATTGTGTCACTATCTCTCAAAATCTGTTCATTTGGAAGAGCAGGAAATGATTCTCTGCTGATTCAACCTTTAATCTAGTTCATGTTCATTACTGATAAATCTGCTTATTGTTCAACAATTCATTCTGTGCCCATTTTGTGATCTCAAAGATAAAATGGGCAAAAAGCCTGAAAGGAAATGGAGCGAAATGGGAAAAGGCTTGTGCTTATCAGGTGGTTGCCGTTCAGATTGGGCAGGTCTTTGAAGCAGGTGGCGTTTCCAAACGCGAGCTATTGCTGACAGATGTGGAGGTGATCATTAGATGGAGATTAGCCTGTTACTTTTAATGAGCTACATTTGCACATCTAGCTTGATCCTTTGTGTCATGATCTCTGAGCTCAAAATAGCAGAACGGTATTTACTCTACTGTTAATTTTTAAGAGTAATAATTAATTACTCTAATCATTATTTTTTTTCCTAAAGAAGTCAAGTAAAATTGTATTTTTTCACATTGTTTCTACTCATTTATTTTGCCCTTCGTTGAATGCCATAACTAAAATACTTCATTATGAATTTAAAACCTTCAATGAAAACTAAAGTAAAAATTATGTTTAATTGAAATTTGATTAATTCAATTAAAAACATAAATAGGAAAAACTAAAACAAAACTAAAATATATATTTTTAAATATTCTGTATATAATTTTAGTTTTTATCTTGACAAACATTATAAAATGCCACTATAACAATAACACTAGATTGTGCTAAGATTTTTTTGTTGTTGATATTAAACATTTTTAAATAATATCCAGTTATAGCGCAATTTCTTTGGAAATCAAACATACAATTCAAAGTTCTAAATTATAATATGTGTGCATGCGCGTGTGTGTGTGTTAGAAAGTCTGAAAGAACAAACGTTCACGATGTACATCAAGTTGCATAGTCCTGTCACATCTCACAGCATGAATAGCACAGAGTCTGGTGTTTCCCATAATTTAGTAGAGGCTTCTGTCAATCAATGTCACTCAACAACACTTCAGGTGCCAGCTGGTCTCTGTTTGCCTCCCGTGGCATCATCACACCGTCTCCTCCCTGAACCCGGGATGAAAATGGAGATGAAAACAAAAGAGGGCATGAAACCCATCCTATGATTTTCTATTCTCCCTCTCCTCACCAGCTCAGAGTCTCTCCAGACACACTCTCTCTTGCCTCTGACCTACTTCTTTCACTCGTTTATGCGGCTGCTGTCTGTTTCATCGCCAGCTGCTTGAAAGCCAGTATAAATCTCTGTCTATCTTTATGTGTCTCTCTATCATGTTATTTAGACTCACAGCCTTATGGTACAGTCTTGCTAATATACAAGCAAAGGCCAGCCATATGGAGCAATCAAAAAAACTTGACAGCCATTCACAAACAAACACACTATAACCACTTCTCCAACCACTGCAGGCCAGTGTACTAGAACTAAATAAAAGCTCTATGGGCTTAAAGCTGAAAGAAAATGAAAACCAAAGTTGCACTAAATGTATAGGCCTGCACAATATACCGTTCTAACAGTTATTCACCCTTTGTTTCATTTTCTCTGCCAGTTCTCTAAAATATGTGCATTTCTGTTCCTGGTGTTTTTGTTTGAAGATATCCAGTTGTTTTTAACAAATAGACTGTTGCAATTAGATCCAGCACTTTTAGTTGCTGTCACGATTAGCCATGCACTTCCTAGGTTTACTTGGACGACATTTCCCATCATACACCTCCCTGGACTGATTACACAAAATACCATACACCTGCACTGCACTGATTAGCCTTCGCCACTGGTCCCCTCCAGCCCTGCAGAGCCCATTCGCCGCTGGTCCCCTCCAGCCCAGGGGACCCTTGACGCGGATCCCGTCCAGCCCTGCCGGGCCTTCGCTGCTGGTCCCGACCAGTCCTGCTGATCCGTTCACGTCAAGTCTGCCGATCCAGAGTCTGTTCGTGTCACGTCTACTGATCCAGACCGTTCACGTCACGTCTACCGATCCAGAGACTGTTCACGACACGTCTGCCGATCCAGAGACTGTTCACTTCACGTCTGCCGATCCAGAGTCTGTTCACGTCACATCTACCGATCCAGAGACTGTTCACGACACGTCTGCCGATCCAGAGACTGTTCACGACACGTCTGCCGATTCAGAGTCAGTTCACGACACGTCTGCCGATCCAGAGACTGTTCACAACATGTCTGCAGATCCAGAGACTGTTCGTCACGTCTGCCGATCCAGAGTCTGTTCACGACACGTCTGCCGATCCAGAGTCTGTTCACGTCATGTCTACCGATCCAGAGACTGTTCACGTCACATCTACCGATCCAGAGACTGTTCATGACACGTCTGCCGATCCAGAGACTGTTTACGACACGTCTGCCGATCCAGAGACTGTTCACGACACGTCTGCCGATCCAGAGTCTGTTCACGTCACGTCTACCAACCCAGAGACTGTTCACGTCACGTCTGCCGATCCAGAGTCTGTTCACGACACGTCTGCCGATCCAGAGTCTGTTCACGTTACATCTACCGATCCAGAGACTGTTTACGACACGTCTGCTGATCCAGAGACTGTTCACGACATGTCTGCAGATCCAGAGACTGTTTACGTCACGTCTGCCGATCCAGAGACTTTTCACGGCACGTCTGCCGATCCAGAAACTGTTCACGTAATCACAATTAATCTTTGCACAGCCTTAATAATATTATATGTCAATATTAAAGACAAACTGTAATGCAAACATGCACACACACAAACTGAAGGGAAAAAGGGACTCATTTTGTGGTCTGGCTTGAGTATTAAGCAACAAGAGAGGAATCCTACTAAGCCAAAATACAGTTTGCAGGGCAATAGTGACGAGAATAACAATAATATCAGGCAGTGGCACATTGGTATGGGTCTTTATTGCAAATACGTGTGGAGATTCCAAACTCTGTCATCTGTGTTGGCAAGTGTCATTTAAATTGAACTCTTTCAATGCAGAGACAATGCTACTGATGTGAGACTTCCGCACAGCTAGCTAAGAATGCATGCACTGTCCTCTTAATAGCTCCAGCCATTGTGTCTTGTTTTCCGACGGCGTCTATTGCTGAATCAAGCGCGTTGATACAAAAGAGCAGATACGTCCTAGGCTTTTCCAGAATGTTATCTTATTCTCACATAACCTTATCCACATCTGCTCCCAGGGATGGCGCCATTCAGCCCTATGAGCATGCATACATCACTCTCGTTAAATATTTAGAATTGTTCAACGAGGCTTCGTTAATTTCCTGTAATTGGACTGGGAAGTTGTCATTACGGATGTGAGAACATTGCAGAGCAGATAAACCCCAGTTCCATCCAAAACAATTATTTTTGCACAGAAACATGCTTTTCTCAAGCACGGTTGGAAGAATTATTGCATTGATGGATGAAGGGGTACACGTCTTTTCAGACATATTTATGATGCATTCCACAGTCGAGGACACGAAAAAATTCCCATAATCCATCAATTCAATTGGTGATTAGTTGCAGTGAAATGTTACTTCAGCCCTTGGGTAAAATAAATAAATGCATGGCTGCATTTCATGGCTCACTCTTTTAGAAGTGTATATTCCATTCCTGTTATAGTTGAATAAGGACTGCGAGCTATCACATACATTTTGAATGAGATTTTACTCCGAACATGCTTTTGTAACCCGGTTCTAGTCAAAGATAGCTGGCCTTTACAGAGCAAGCTAATGAAAAATGCAAAGAAGCACCACAGAGATGGAAAGAGAGTGATGAGGACAGTCGGATGAGTATATTCTGACTCACATTCCAGTAGTTTTTGTCAGGGTACAATGGTATTAGTGTGAGTTGATTTACATGTTCAAACTGCAGTAATGCTCCAGGAACTGAAGTGTTATTTAGACTGGAAACATTGCAGTGTTTTGAGGAGAATTTCTGCCTGTAGTCTTTTTAAGTAGAATACTGTACTGTACTGACCACTGTTTTGCATTTGATGACAGTGAATGAGGAACTGGGCTATCATCTCCCAAGCTCCATTATGATACAAAACCACCATAAAATATAAAAATACAACTTTTTTTTTGTCATTAACTTTCATTTTATTTAAAAGAATTACTTTCTACATTCTTCATTTTTTTTCTACTTATGTGTTTTCTAAACATGT